CACGATACCTACCTATTCCTCTGCTCTCATGGTCATGGGAACCAGTGTCTCGGCTGAGGGGGCACTGATCTGATTCCATTGCAAGAATAACAAAGTCTTCCCACTGGCCAGTCACTGTTGTGCAGAAGGGAACATCAGAGTGATTGTTATAGGCCTTCGACTAGATTCTCTAGTCCGATTAACTCATGACCCAATCATGGGCATGATAAACAAAATTTTAAGGCATACTTGAAGTCAGACTAGTTATATTCCTTGGAGCTAGGAAGGACCTATCCCTCTGTCTCTAGTTTCCAATTATAATCAGGTCACAGGCTGTGTACATAGTACTTTCCATTCAGAGCTTCTTGAGGAGCACAAATTCTATACAGTTGAGAATCTGTATGCAAGTCTATGCTCTTAAGTTCTACCAGACAAGGATGAAGACTAGTTAGGAAGACGTTGTATAGATCCTGAACTTGTGAAGAGATTTTTTTCTTGTTGTTATTTTCTAGGCAGCTAAAAGCAGCAACTATTTAAATAGCATTTATATCCTGTCATAAGTTATTCATTTATAGACATGTATAGGTGGGTATGTACAACTTCTATGCAATACTATAATGTTTCATGTAAGGGTCTTAAGTGTGTGAGGATTTGGTATTCATAAGAGTCCTGGGATGACCCGCTGCAGATAATAAAGAGGGATGATTACGTGGAATCTGAGAAACAGAACTCTTTTTATGTAACTACCATGAGTATAACAGGCATTAATATGGAAAGTTATGATGAAGCGAGGTAAAAATAATGTGTTTGTGTTTGAGTGTACATCTATTTAAGTGACTAAAATTATCCATGACACATATTATTTAAGCTTAAGATGCTTCAGGTTAACATATGTGGGCACTGACATTACATGAGGTAAATGTTAGCTTAAATCAGAAAAGTGTCAAAAGCGACATTCTAATCCTGGGGCCTTCCCTCTTCACGCTTCCCAATGAGAGTTGTGTTTAAAAACACCCTCAATCAGTTACATCAACGTATTCATTATAGGTAAACTAGCTGCCCAAGATTCACGATTCTCCTAACTTCCAGTCTCTCAGAATGTGACTTTGAAGACAAGATGTACAGTAAAATGTGATCAGCAGGATTAATGCTAACATAATTCACACAATAATAATAATAATAATTTAAAAAAATACAATGTCATCTTTATAAAAGAGACATTTGAACACAGAAACAACTCAATATGGAGAGAAAACTGTTCAGAGGCAGACAGAGAAGACAGTGCTATAGTTTGAAGTTATGGAGCCTATGTGATGCTACTAAGAGACTGTGCTATCTTTGGGAGTTGAGGCCTTATCAGGAGTCTAGGTCATTGCGGATGTGTACTTGTGAGCTGTAGATTCCCTTTCCCCCCTCTCTCTGCTTCCGGGTTTGTGATGTAAATGGGTTTGCTGTGGCACATTCCTTGTATGGTATGTTGTACCAAGGGTTCCAATACAGTGGGGGCAAATGATCTTGGGCTTGAAACCACCATGAACTGTGAGCAGAAAGTTTGATAGATCGTTATGTCAATTATCTCCTAGACTTGTATAGTGACAGTATGGTGTCGGAGATCCTTCTGTCTTTGTGTTGCTTTCATTGGTTAATAAAGAAACTGCTTTGGGCCTGTTGATAGGGCAGAACTTAGGTAGGCAGGAAAGACAGAACTGAATGCTTGAAGGAAGAAAGCAGATTCAGGGAGAAACCATGGATCCGCTGGAGACAGATGTTGGGAATTTTACCTGGTAAGCCACTTCCACATGGCAACACACAGATGAATAGAAATGGGTTAAATTAAGATGTAAGAGTTAGCTAATAAGAAACTAGAGCTAATGGGCCAAGCAGTGTTTTAATGGGTACAGTTTCTGTGTGGTTATTCTGGGGCTGAGATAGGCAGGAGGCTAGGATGAACAAGCAGCCCCTCCTTACAACAACAGTAAACTGACCAACTACCTGCAAGCCAAAGACAGCGACTTGGAACATTTCTTCACAGCCTTTGGAAGTAACTAACCCTGTGACTCCAACACTTGCCCTCCAGCCTCCTGTTAGCACACTCAATCCATTCTGTTGGTGATTCTCTGTCATGACAACTTTAGCCACCCCATACACCATCATTTGCCAAGAACAGCTTTCCTAGGCTTAATCACATCTGTTTAATTTTTTTTTTGTCACACAAAAAAGTCATGGAGGTCATTCCAAAGATATTGTATAGGCATGAAAATACAGGAGAAACTAGACTTCTGTGGGCTAACAACATCAAAGTGTACCCAGGAGAGAAGTAGAGACAGAGACTGATATGGGTAACCACTGAGCAACCTGCCAGAAATTATAGGGGTTGTACATTCTTTTTATTTAGGAATATCTGAAAGTCTACTTTGTTCTGCTCCCAACAAATGGCTGTGTTGGCTGAGAGCTTCACCAGCTTGTGACTCAGTGCCATTTCAAATATTATTTTTGGACTGTAGGGTCCTCAAAGGGGCAAATGAAATGCCATGGACCCGCAGATCTGCATTTGGCTAACCCTACAACAGTAACATAAACAGTAAAGGGTAGTGTGGTTGCTGCATTACAGCTGCATGAAAAGCACAAAGATAAATAAGCTGGAAATGTATTAACATGAGATTTTATGGAGCTCTACGGAAGTCCTTAGTGATCCATAAAAATTTCTACCTTTGAAGTGTTTTATGGAATACACAAAATGTCTTCCAATACAAATTCTGAAATTCTCAGGAGGGTTTGTACATATCTTTCAATTCTTAATCCATAAAAATATAATTTGAACATTGTCAACACAGTGTAATTTCCTCTCTTACTGACTTTGATTTTTGAGAAATATCAAGATTCTAGTTGTAAGTATAATAAGTTTTCAATTATTTGCCTTTAGATAAACTTCTTAAAGCCAGCACTGCCAATTCTTATTTTGCCTTTATAAAAAAAAGATGTAATAACAATATGTACAATTTCATGGAATAAAAGACAAACTCCTAATCTTATTTATCTGTTTAGGTTTTATTTTATAAGATTATATTGAATTTACATGGGGAATTAAGCCTTAATGAATGAGCTAGGGTGTGTCAAACTGGGTTAAATTTCTGAAACTTTCATAAATATTTGTTCACTATCTCCCAGTGGAATAATAGTTTTCATTGTCACCTTCTGATTGTCTAGAGCATTATTCAACAACAAAGCAAGGTAAATCCAAAAGAGGCAGAAATACTGTATTTAGCTATTTCCATTTCTATACACATATTACTTCAGTGACCTCCAACTTCATTAAAGAAAGAACATGATCTTTTATTTAACCAAAGCCAAGATAGTGTATGAGAAAGGGGGGGGGAGAATGAGGATATAGGGTGGGGAGAGAGACCAACTTTATTACTTCAAATTATACATACAAGATACTGGAAAAGATGCTTTGGGTTATGATAAGAAGGGAATGCATGCCTGGAAGATGTGTCTGAGTAGGTTGATGGGGTTCAGGGTGGGTCATCCCCAGATAGGAGATCTTGATTTTGGAGAAAGTAGCAGGGGTAGGAAGGTCCCTGTGACCTTCTCATCTCCCTTCTGCTGAAGCTGGATATTGAGAAAATTTGCTAACTTCCCGCTTGAACTGTCTCAAGGGAATGTGAACCCACAAAGCCCTTCAGTTTATCCCCATTAGATCATCATGACCTGGTGTGGGAACTCCTTCTGTCTATGTGTAATTTTTTATCGGTTAATGAATAAAGAAGCTGCTTTCAGCCAATGGCTTAAGAGAATATAGGCTGGAAAAGATAGGAAGAGAGTAGTTGGAGTCGGAGAGAAGCCATGTAGCCTCCGCAGGGGACAGACAAAACTTTGCCAGTAAACCACGACCTTGTGCTGATGCATAGATTAATGGAGATGGGTTAGTTTAGGATATAAGAGTAAGCCAGAAACACGCTGAAGTTATTGGCCAAACAGTATTGCAAATAATATAGTTTCTGTGTGATTATTTTGGGTCTGAGTGGCTGGGAACAAACAAGCAGTCTTTCCTCAACAATGTCCCTAATGTCCAGTCACATTTCACCCACTCCTCATCGAACTTAGCATAAAAACAGAAGTTTGAGTGTTTCTTGAGTCTTCATTTCTGAAGGCTCCGGTGCCATGTAAAACTTAAATTACACAAAGAATGTATGTTCTTTTTTTTGTTGACCTGTCTCTTGCCATGAGCCCAGGGAAGGGATGTGTTCTTCCCTCATACTGTGCTTGTCTAGTGTTCTTAACTATACAGTAATACTTAGCATTCTGTAGCTGTAGGTCTTCTATAGGAAATGGAAATAGCTAATTTGCTGCATCAGTGCATTTTTCTTTTCTTTTTTTTAAGTTAGAAATGAAATTTTAATATAAAACAATTCAAGAAAACAAAGTCTAAGAATGAAGGCAAGAACAATTGTCCCAAGAAAAATCCCAGAACTGCTTGCTCCTCTTGGGGACTATAAAGCTGATAATTATACAGTTACAGAGAACCATACAGAAAACACTTAAAAACAAACAGGAGGTACACTTAGGATAGAACTTGAGTTGTCTTGTATGTAAGGACTATGCCATGCATTGTGACAATACCATGTTAATACACAACTGCAAACCAGGATGAATGACTCATAGTGGTTATTATGTTCATTATGTCATCAGGTTAATGAACAGAACTAAAGGAAAGTTGTTTATATTAGTCCCTATAAATCTTTAGTCAAGGCTTATCATGAATCAACTTACAAACTACCTGGTCAGGAATGGAGAGACATTATTATGAGATTTGAGGGCACTGACATTTAACTTCAGACAATGTATGTTAAATAAGCAAATAGAAACATTGCTACTTTATTAAAATACTGAGTTTATTTCACATGTATATTTGTCTCCCTACCATTTCCACATCTGACCACCACTATTACTATGTCCTATCATGACATTCCATACATACTTAAAACCAAGTAAAGGGTGGAGCTCCATCCTTGAAAACTAAACAGGCATTTTAGACAACATTCGTGGCAATGGAACCTGGACAACATTTATCAAACACAGTAGGGAAAGTTCTCACTTTGCATTATAAAAAGGACAGCAAGATATATCAACTGTTACAGAAATTAAGTAAGACGGAATATTTCAAACTGTTTAAACCATTTTCTTAAAGAGACTTCCTCCACTGCCAGAGATCTTGAATAGCCTCCTGGTCAGTCATCCGGAAGCAATTCTTCACATAATTAATGAACTTGGCTTCCACTTTGGGAAGAGAGCCACCTTTTTCTATACTTGCTTGCATTTTTGCCTTAATGTCTTCTACAGAACTAGGTCCTTTTGGTGTTTTAGGGGTTTTTTCCTGTTTTTTGAAGGACTCTTGACCCTTTGATCTTGGTGTTGATGGTTTTAAGTCTTTTCCATTTTGGTTTGATTTTTGTGCATTTTTGGCTGGGGTATCTCGTACAGATTTCTTCACTGGAACTTTTTCTTCAGCTTCCTCATCATCAAAATCATCCTCATCATCGTCTTCATCATCCTCATCATCTTCATCATCATCCTCATCAAGTTTTACTTTTTTCTGTGGAACCTTGTTGCCACCTCCAGGAGCAGATCGCTTTCCAGACATACTCACCAGCTTTACATCCTCCTCATCTTCATCTTCTGACTCTGCATCTTCCTCTACAGCTACTAGGTGCTGTCCACTAATGTGCACAGGCCCAGAACCACACTTCAATCTTAAGACCACAGGGGGTGTTATTTCAAATCCCCCAAGAGAAACTGTTGGCTGTACAGACATTTTCAAAGTTGTCAGTGTTACTTTAATTGGACTGCCTTCATAGTTCATTGCTTCTGCCTCTACGATGTGTAATTCGTCTTTTGCCCCAGCACCTAAACTAACCGTTCTTAGTGATAACTGGTGCTCATTCTCATCATTATCCACCTTAAAGTGATAATCTTTGTCGGCTTTTAGTTCACAGCCAAAAAGGTAGTTCTGAGGCCTTAGAGGGCTCATGTCCATGTCCATGGAATCTTCCATGAGGTGAAGGCGCGTTCTTCGGTGGCAGAGATGTCGGACGGAGGGTTCTGCCTGCTGCTCCTCAGAACAGGCACGCAGGACGGAATCACGCCAGGGCATCAGTGCATTTTTCTTCCACAGCAGAACTCTTCCTTCTAGAGTGCCAGTCCATGGACAGCCGCTGGTCTCTGAGTGGCTGGGAAAGAACCCTCTGTCAGCTCTCAGAAGCTCCATAGCTTGGACAGCTCACCAGAGCACTGTCTTGGAGTTTGTTATAGGCAACTCCAAATACTTTTCATATACATAAAGAGTTATTTTAGGGTGGAGTTTCAAGTGTAAACAAGCACTTTATTATGTTTAATATACATCTCAAATATGTAATCTGAGAATAAATTTCACACAGTGTACATCTGTGTTTGACTGTTGTTTGACATTCTTGCTGGGGGGATGTGAACAAATGCCTACTCACCCCAGATAGGGAACTAACAACAGAACAAAGTAAGCAACCACCAAATTATGAACCAATGAGTTTTTGGGGGTCACTTAGGAGAATACTGGTGATGGCTTACTTCCAGGAGCAGAACTGACTCAGAGACAGCTGTGCCACAGAGCCCACTCCAGCATGAGCAACAGCTCACAAACGCTGAGATCTAGAGCACACTGCGTAGCCTGCAGACAGCTCAACAGGCTGGAGGGTGTCCTTCCAGATAGCTCATACACCAGTGCCTCTCCCAGGAGGCTCAGCAGGCCTCTGGTTCTTTCAAGCTTCTTGGCTACTTTGAGCCTCTTCTAGGCAGATCAGCTAGTTGAAAAGGGTCCCTCAGCAACCCTTATAACTTATATGTGCTTGGAGGTAGAGGCTTAGTGAATCTGGTCAGTTTTACTTCCTGGGTTGCTTACTTGCTGAGGTTCCCTTCAGGATGGAATATTTCCAGACTGGCCCTTCTACCAACTGACTTCCCCTTCAAAAATTTGTGTCTTAACAAGATGGAACAAGATGGAAGGTTTTAGAAGAAACTGCTGGACCACGTGACCTGTCACATGAGTCAAGTGTAGAATGTGCCACTGGTATTGTCAAGTGGGTGTTCAAACATTCTGCGGCTTGGGAAGACTTAAATTTCATATTTTTAGATTTGAAATGTCCAGTCTGAAAGGAGGGAAGTACATGAAAGGAGCAGCAGAAAATGGGAGGCACCCAGCAGCACTGCAGAGGGACAGCAGGAAATGGGGGACACCCAGCTGCACTGCAGAGGAGAGACAGCAGGAAATGGGGGTACCCAGCAGCACTGCAGAGGGACAGCAGGAAATGGGGGGCACCCAGCTGCACTGCAGAGGGACAGCAGGAAATGGGGGACACCCAGCTGCACTGCAGAGGAGAGACAGCAGGAAATGGGGAGCACCCAGCAGCACTGCAGAGGGACAGCAGGAAATGGGGGACACCCAGCAGCACTGCAGAGGAGAGACAGCAGGAAATGGGGGTACCCAGCAGCACTCCCAGTCTGGCCAGAGCACCATGGCCAGTAAATTCCTCACGCTCGTCTGAGCAAGTCTTAATTCCTCACTAACAACCGAGTTAATTAAGGTTAGTCTTTCTGTTTTTTTTTCTCTTATGCTTCTCCAAGACATTGGAATAAGTTGTTTCAAAAGGGGCGATGTCAGAGCTGCTCTTTTAAAGTTCTGTTAAATGTCTATTTGACCCAGTCTCCATTCCACTCAGCCTGTATCCCACCCAGCCTACACTCAGTAAGCCTGTATCCCACCAAGCCCACACTCCAGTGAGCCTGTATCCCACCCAGCCTACACTCCAGTGAGCCTGTATCCCACCCAGCCTACATTCCTGTGAGTCTATAACCCACCCAGCCTACACTCAGTGAGCCTGTATCCCACCCAGCCCACACTCCAGTGAGCCTGTATCCCACCCAGCCCACACTCCAGTGAGCCTGTATCCCACACAGCCTACACTCCAGTGAGCCTGTATCCCACCCAGCCTACATTCCTGTGAGTCTATAACCCACCCAGCCAACACTCAGTGAGCCTGTGTCCCACCCAGTCTGCATTCCACTGAGTCTATAACCCACTCACCGGACATCCCATCTTGGTCTTCTGGTCTGAGGTCAAGAGAACTGCAGTAAACAAATGCGGCACTGTCTTCTTTCTGTTGTCATCCTGTCTACATAGGAAAAGCTATTCGGTTCAACCAGGTGGCTAAGATGTGGATGCGGTACAATGCAGATCTGGGATGTGATGGTTAGGTGCAGTCCATTTAAAATGATGTCCAATGAGGCCTTTACATCCCACACACTCCCATGAGAAGCTTCTGTGTAGGCAAATGCACAGAGAATAGGGTTCAAAGTTGCCAACTACAGCAGATTCCCAATTTTAATGAGCTACTCCACTCATCTCTCTGTGCAGTCCGCCTTTCAATGGCCTTTTGTTGGAGGAAAAATTTCTTTTGTATTTTTGTTTTAATTAACTAATTTGGGGACAGGGTCTCACTTTGTAGTCCTGGCTGGCTTGGAACTCACTGTGTAAACTTGGCTGACCTTGAAATCACAGCGATTCTCCTGCCTCTGCTGCCAGTGCTGGCATAAAAGGCATCTGCCTCAGTGCCTGGCTCCTGTTATATTTTTGAAGGTCAAGGATACTGATTAGAAAAAGAGAACCTTTCTAAAAATGTTTTCACTTGTTAAGTTTTACTGAGCTACTACTATACACAAAGCAACATCTTATACCCAGCTGACCAACATTTGTCCCTGGGTCCTTCATGTTTTAAAGAGAAGGTCAATGCAAATTGAAATCATCAAGTATTAGATAACTACCTAGTCCATTTTTATCCATCAAAACATTCCTAAAATTTTGTTTGGCTTGGGCAGTCCTCATGCCACTGTTTCTTTCTCTGGCTGAAGTACAGTAACTATTGTAGTTTGGATGAAAATGTCCCCCACAGGCCTAGATAACTGAACCCTTGGTTCCCAGTTGGTGAAGTTCTTTGGGGGGGCGCTTGTGAGGCAGTGCAGCCATGCTGGAGGAAGCACATTCCTGAGCGTGGGCTTTGAGAGGTTCTGGCCTCACACCATTCTTAGCCCACTTTCTGTTTCCTGCCTGCAGTTGAGGACACAATTTCTTAGTTGTTTCTGCTGCTCTGTCCAAACTTAAGACCAAATCAAGTCTGTTCTCTGTTACTTTTGGTCATTGTTTTGTTTGTTTGTTAGTTAGTTTGTTTGTAATCACAGCAACAGAAAAATAACTAATACAAAGAGCAATTCTGATTTTATGTTTTGGTTCCTAGGGCACTCAGAATAATTGAAACAGGCAGGCTCAATGCATTAACATATGAAAATTCTTTATTATGCAGAAAACAAGTAAGCAGACAAAACACTTGTAGAAGATTTTAATGAAGAAGCAGCCTCATTATCTGCCCTGGCTCTTGAACCTGTTGTTTTCATTTCTTACTATTAGTCTAGGTCAGACCTTCAGCTTCTTTTACCTATATTGTTCTCCCCTATCCATAAGATTCTGCTACAACCCTGTGTGACTGTGATATTCACTCTCTCCAGGACATTGAACATTGCCTTTTTATCTGTATACAGGCTTCAACTTCTGGGGCTCTCTGATATTTTTTTCCAATTCTTCAGTCTCTCCATGGCCTTGACCAAGTGCGTACCTTTGATTGGGCAGGATTCCTCCTCCATTCTGCACCCCTATGTATTCTTACAATCTATGGGTATTTCCTTGGTTTTACTGCAGGAGCTAACAGCTCTCTTATCTGTGCACACAGCATTCTTTTTAATTAATTAATTTTACATCCCAGCCACAGTGGGCTCTCCCTCCTCTCCTATCAGTCTTCCCTACCCTCTCTGTTTCTACTCCCCCAATCCAAATCTCCTCTGTTTCTATTAAGGAAATAGTAGGCCTCCCATTGATACCAACAAAACATGGCATATCAAGTTTCAGTAAGACTGTGCATCCCTCCTGCCCATGTATTCAAGTTCGGCAAGGTGACCCAGAATACAGGAGATGGAAGAGACAACCTCAGGTGTTGAAGATATGATAGAGGAAATAGATTTATCTGTCAAAGAAAATGTTAACTCTAAAAGAATTCTTAACACAAAACATTCAGGGCACTATGAAAAGAGCAACCCCAAGAATAATAGGAATAGAATAAGAAGAATCCCAGCTCAAAAACCCAGAGAATATATTTAACCAAATCATAGAAGAAAATTTTTTCAACCTAAAGAAGGACAAACCTACAAAAAGAATAAGAAGTTTACAGAAGAATCTGTCAACAATGGAAGAATACAAAGACATAAAATATCACTTTTGCCCTTAATCCCTGCTTTTCATTTTGAAGTCCAGTGTTAGGAAAGAAATTAAGAGATCAGTTAGTGAGAGTTCAAAAGTTGTAGCTCCTTTATGGATCCACACAGCAAAAGGTTTTGAGAGTTATACATCTTTCTCAAGTCTGTGCTTTTGTCTGAGGGCTTGTGAAATATTTCCATAAAAATTCACAATGTCTGGTTTTGAGGATCAAGGTGGTTCATAATCTTTTTTTCTGTTCAGATAGTAAACTGTTCTCTTTCTGTGTGTGTTTTTCCTCCCAATTCACCAGACTCTAGATTTAATCTAAGGACTCCAAGACTCTCACATGTCCTCTGATTGCTTCTGCCCATTTAGCTGCTCCTGGGAAAGTAGGACTTTCCCTCATCTCTTAGATTTCTGTGATAAAACCAGCTGAGAAATTATTCTTAATCACTTGGCCCAACAAAAGAAATAATGGCTAATCAATGTAAGCGGATTTTGACTAAGATCTCCATTAGCAAAGGCCAAGTACATAATAAAATCTGGACGTGATTACGCTATGCCCTCACTCACCATTTGATGGATGCTCTCCTCAAATCCCACCTTTGACCCCTTTATTTTTACTTAATCTTTCAAAGCCTTCCCAGTAGGAAGACAGAAGAATGGAAATTGGCCCCATTCCATATTTGATTTCCTAAAGATTAGAGAAATTGCAAATGCTG